GTCTCCTTTTCATTCTCAACTTTTTTTAATTACAAGTGAAGTGGTGTGTGTTTTCCTGTGCATATCATGTTTCTTCTTTAGTTTTGCGGTCAAGACATGTCACTTCTGCCCCAGGAGGGCTGAGTAAATAGGATCTTTCGGGGACTATGTTCCTGAAAGGATAGTAGACAGGACTGTTTCTCTGTCACTGATGCTGTCCGCCTACCCAGAGGTGGGGGAGCCCCGGGAAATCCCAGGCTAGAGGAGGCTGGGCTGCCCTGTCCCAGAAGCCCTTGTTCTAACACACCCTTTGCCTTCTGCAGGAAGCTTGGAAGCATGCAATCGAGAAGGCCAAGCACATGCCCGACCCCTGGGCTGAGTTCCACCTGGAGGACATTGCCACCGAGTACGCCACGCGTCACAGGTCAGCAGCTTGTCCTGGGCTGCTGTATGGCCCCAGGCCTCTAGGAGTCCTTGGGGGTCTGGTTCCTGCTTCTGCTCACAATCAGTGAGACCTAAATGCCCTTGGAGGTCTAGGAGAAGGGAACGATAAAGCCAATATTTGAGTGTGTATGCTTAAGGCACTCTTCATTGTTTCATTTAATTCTCCACGTGGTCCTATAAGGAATGTGTTTGACAGGCTAGGCTGAGCTGTGCTGCAGTAACAAGTACCCCCTGGGGAGTTTAATGTAATGAAGGTGTGTTCTTGCTCAGATGAAGGTAGATGAGAGTTGAGCAGCTCTCCAGGGCAGCGCAGGGATCCAGGCTTCCATCTGTGGCTGTGCAGTTGCTACCAGAGGGAAGAGCCTGGAGAAGAGCACACAGTTTCTCAATGCCTTGGCCCCAGGAGGATTCGCAAAGCGGAGTTGGGAGCAGCTAGATTTCCTGTTTGAAAAGGCAAAGGGAGGGAAGAGTATTTTCAGGGAGTTTCAGGGAGAATGAAGAACAAAATAAAAAACCACAAAACACCACCGGTAATATAATGATAGAAAAGACAGTGGTGCTGAGTAGCCCTTGCTTGTTGAGTCTTGCACATGCCAGGCACTGTTTCAAGCACTCGGTATGTATTTAGTCATTAGGAAAGCCTGAGTAGAAAACATGTCAAGCATTTGGGACCCCTTTCGAGAATCTGATGAGGGCCATCTCAGAAAATTGCACACATATGTCTAATTTTGCTCGTAATTTTAGAAGACTCATGGACCTGCCTTGGAGCCCGCCGCTGTTCCATACCTCTGTAGACCCCTCCAGCTCTGAGTGATCCAGGCCAATCCTCTCAGTTCCCTTAATTGCCCCAGGGAGAGAAAAGTTTGCCAAGGGTTAGTCCAGTACCTTTGAATGAGTCAGAACTGTTTCAAATGCAGGTAACAGGAACTCAAATCACAGTGGCTTAAGGATAAAAGGGAATGTTTGTTTCATGTACAGGGTGGGGCAAAATTAGGTTTATAGTTGTGAATACGTGAAACAGAGTTTATGCTTGTATTATTATTTATTATTAATTATTTATTGTTTTCCATACAAACAACTGGAAACCTACTTTTGCCTTACCCTGTGTGTGGGCTTCAGGTGTGGCTGGTTCCAGATGCTCCAAGGATGCTTTCGACTTTGACCTCAGACAGACTCTTTTATATCAGTGGCACAGAGCCCCACATTTCATTGCACCCAGTGGAAAAGAATCTTTTCTTTCTCAAGTTTTTTAAAACAAAAATTTCTTTTTCTTTTTTTAAATATATCTTTATTGATTTCAGAGAGAAGAAAGGAGAGGAAGAGAGAGAGATAGAAACATCAATGATGAGAGAGTCATTGATCGGCTGCAGCCCACAACCCGGGCGTGTGCCCTGACCGGGAATCGAATCCTGATCGCCTGGATCCTAGGTCAATGCTCAACCGCTGAGCCACGCCTGGCTGGGCTAAAACAAAAATTTCATATTTGACTCTCATTGACCTGGTTTTGGTTATGTGCCCATCTCTAAACCAGGGAGTATTGTACCAGGGAGTGTTGCTCTGATTGACATACTACAAGCCAGGGGGTGCTGGGGATCAGCCTCAGCTAGGCCACATATTCTGAAAATGGCTCCCTGAAGAAAAATTGATGTGCAGTTGCCAGAAGAAGGGAGACAGATGCAGAAACAGTGGAAGCCTCTCCACCTTTCAGCAACATTTTCCTGCTCTCACCCTGCGAGGAGATGGCTTAGAGCAGAGGTGGGGAACCTTTTTCTGCCAAGGGCCATGTGGATATTTATTTATAGCATCATTCTCAGGCCAGACAAAATTATCAACTTAAAAATTAGCTATAAAGCCCTAGCTGGTTTGCCTCAGTGGTTAGAGCATTGGCCCTTGGACCAAAGGGTCTTGGGTTCGATTCTGGTCAAGGGCATGTACCACAGTTGCAGGCTTAATCCCCAGCCCCCGGTCGGGGCGGGAGGCAACCAATCGATGTGTTTCTCTCACATTGATGTTTCTCTCTCTCTCTCCCCCTCTTCCACTCTCTCTGAAAAGCAATGAAAAAATACCCTCGGGTGAGGATTTAAAAATTTTTTTTTTAAATTAGCTATGAAAAAAGCTCCTAGATTTATTGAATTTTGAGTCCCGCTTGCGGTTACCTTGGCAGGGCCAGACCAAATGATTTCACGGCCTGTATACAGCCCGTGGGCGGGACATTCCCCACTCCTGGCTTAGAGCCTGGAATGCACCCCCTTCCCACTGCTAGAGGCCCACCTCCTAGTGCGCTCTGGGGTCTGTGCTAGCAGCTGAGGTCAGCATTGTGGGGGCCCCTGCAGGAGAGGATAAGAGCTCTGTTCCTGCCTGCCTGCAAGGGCACCGTGGTGGCTGGCTGGTGAGATGTGGCCCCGAGGCTGAGGACACCAGGCCACACAGGGATGCCCCTGGGAAAGCAGGACACACATCCTGGGTGGCTCTGAATGTCCCAGAGCTCTGCGGGGACCTGGGACCAGGGACCAAGCCAAAATGTATTTATTAACCGAAGTGTCTGCCTTTACTTGCCCTGGCTGGGAAGGGTGGTCAGGCACTGATGGCCACTACCTCCAGAGGTCTCTAAATTGGAGGCTTCCTCCTGTGTTCTGGTTTTGAAAGCGCTCCGATGCAAGGGGAATTTTTGTTCATGTGGGTTGTACCCAGGCTGCGTAGGAGCAGGATTCTGGTTGAAACCAATCAGAGTTTGAACCCTGGCTCCCAGGCAGGTTACTTTGCCTTTCTGAGCCTCGGTTTCCCCAGCTAGAAAGTGGGCACAGTAACTGCCAGTGTACAGGGCTGCTGCAAAGGCTGGTGGAACATAGTCGCTTAAGCAGCCAGCATACAGTGAACACTCAGCGCTTTGAGCAGCTCTGACCTTTCCGGTGTCAGTGGTCCTGAGGGATGGATAAGATGCGGCCCACGCCCACCCCCACCCCACCCCTTCCGGTGCCTCTCAGTTTTCAGTCTCTTTTGAAGTTGAGGGAAGATTATTTCCCTTGGTCTCTACATAGTAATAATCATCGTCGCTATTATTTACTGAGCGTAGTACCTGGCACGGGCTAGTGGTGAGCCTTCCTCCCGTCGGGGGGAAGGCGGGGGGAGGCCGCCTCCTAGGCCTCTGCCAGTCTTCCTCACGGAGGCTTCAGGCTCTGAGAAGCTGCTCTCACTGGGGCTGGGAGTGTTCTCGAGCCTGTCCCCACCGAGAGGTGGGCCGGGGAGGCCTCTGCAGGCGCTGAGAACACCTCAGCCCCGCGGCACGTTTTAGGATAGAGATTTACTGAGCGGAGGTGCTGTCTATCAGGCAAACCTGTTTGAGGCTTAGCAGGCCTAGGGGCAGATGGGCTCGGTGGAGAGAGGAGCCTGGGAAAGGAGAGAGGGAATGTGCACCCAGCAGCCCCTTTCCTGGCTGGGCTCACGCTGGACATGACGAGACACACCCAGCGACCTGGGCCGGGCTGCGTACAGGTGCCTGGCAGGTGGAGGGCACTGCCGCCTCCTGTCCTAGGACGCGCCGTTTGTTACGTAGCCCGGATATAATAAGGACATTTACTTATTCAGTCATTTATTCATTGTGCACTTATTAGGCCTTCACGCACAGCAGGCCCCCCAGTAAACAAGACAGACCTGGGCCTGCCTGGGTGGCGACACAGCCGGGGCAGCCCACCCGCAGCACAGCAGGAAGTGCTGAGGGGACACGGTGGACAGGGCACCCTGTGCTTGGGCAGAGGGAAGGAGCCCGGTGTGGGGGGGAGCCTGGGAGGGTGGGAGAGTGCCCACAAGCCCCACCCAGGAGGTCGACTGGGCCCTGGAGTAGCAAGTGGGCTTGATCCCGAGGCAGCGGGGGGCCCAGGGAGGCCTTTCACCCTCAGCCAGTGACAGGATCAGGTGATGGACCTGTGCCGGGTGGGCTCTCTCTGCAGGTACAACGCCGTCACCGGGGAGTGGCTGGAGGACGAGGTCCTGGTGAAGATGGCCTCTCAGGTGAGCAGGTGTGCCAGCCTGGGTGGCCTGGGCCACCTCTTTGCACTGCTTTCAGTCCGTGTCCCGCTCCACACCCTCTGTTCGTTTACCTTTGGGGAGCTCTCTAAAGTGTTGCATATTTAACTTTTATAGCAGCTTTATTGAGATTATTCACACACTGCAACACACCCATTTGAAGTGTAAATGCATGGTTTTCAGCATAGTCAGAGCCGTGCAACCTCACCACGACTGAGTCCAGAACATTCCAGAAACCCTGGACGTAGCCATTACAGTCAGCACCCAGTTCCCTCCCCTGCACCCAGCCCTGGGCAACCACTAAGCTACCTTCTGTCTCTCTAGATTTCCCTATTCTGGACATTTCATATATTCATCATTTATAAAAATATCCTTCCTGACACTCTTGTTGAAAATCAGTTGACTGTAGATAGTCATAAAATCGCAGGTCGCCACCTATTACTGACTGGTAATGTGAATTCAATGGCTGGCCACCAGCCTTTTGGAAAAAGAAACAGACCACAAAATACAGCTCTTCCTGTATAGTGAGGGGAGGGATTGTTGTGTGAAACTTTCTTTAGTGTGTTGCACACACAGAAACACGCACAGCTTGGTGGGTTTCACGGAGCGAACACACGTGGAGCCAGCACTCAGATTAGACAGTGTGTCACCAGCACCCCCGGGGCCCCTCAGCCCAGTCACTTATCCCTGACCCCTGAGGGTGGGCACCAGCCTGAACGCTGTCTCCCTAGGTCAGTTTTGCCCATTTTTATAAAATGTGCTTTTCAGCATGGCTTTTGCTCAACATGTTGTACGTGAGCTTTGTACCTGGTTTTGCCAGAACTGCAGTGTTTTCATTCCCCTTGCCGGGCAGTGTTTCATGTGAACACCTGACGTACTGTATTTACTGTACTGTTGGTGGGCTTCGGGTTCTGCTACAGGCAGGGCTGCACGCACATCCCTTCACACGCACTGTCTTCTCCGCTCCGTCCCCCCATAACGCCTTCACCCCCGGGGGGTTTCTGCTCAGCTGGGGTGGGGGAACAGGTGGTCTCTCATCGCACAGCCTCCAGGTTGAAGTTCTATCAGACTTCAGTGCTGGGGGGCAGGACTGAGGGCCAGAGATGTTAGGCTTGAGATGAGGTCCATTTGGTGGGTACCATCCAAGGCGGACATCTCCTGACTCAGGGTTGCTTCTGGGTGGGGCATGGGGACTGAGAACCCTCCCTGTGCTGTCTTTCAGCCCTTCGGCCGTGGAGCAATGAGGGAGTGCTTCAGGACGTAAGTGACAGCCTGGCTCTTGGGGGGGCCCTGCCAGATTCCTTCAGGCTCCTGAGCTGGGTCATTGTGACAATTCTGGCCTAGGAATGGTCGGTGGCCCAAGCTCCTCTCCACCTACGTTCCCTGGGACCACACGTTGGGCCTGGCTGTGGTGATGATGTGCTCCATAGTATCCTACTCATCTCCACTCTGGTCCTTGGAGGCCAAGGGATGTGGGAAAAGAGACCTTTACCAATGTCCCTTAAGTCCCCTGCCCACCTCTTGGAAGGATGCGGTGCAGTAGGGAAGCCCCTCCTACCCTCCGCTGCATCTTGTTCCTGGCTCAGCCAGGTCTCCTCCTGAGGACTCAGGGCTGGGTCCCCGGTGAACCCAAGTGCCCAGACGGGCCCCCTTGCTGCCTCTCCCCCCAGGAAGAAGCTGTCCAACTTCCTGCACGCCCAGCAGTGGAAGGGGGCCTCCAACTACGTGGCAAAGCGCTACATCGAGTCGGTGGACAGGGATGTGTACTTTGAGGACGTGCGTCTACAGATGGAGGCCAAGCTCTGGGGAGAGGAGTATAATCGGCACAAGCCCCCCAAGCAGGTGTGTGACGCCCTCCTTGCCACCTGCCCCCACCAGGGCAGCCAGGAGCAGTGTCAGGAGACAAGGGCGCTGGCGCTGCCAGTCACAGGTTCCCTTCTTCACTGTCTTGACTGTAGTAGCTAATAACCACCACCACTTATCGAGCACCAAGGGCCAGGTGCTGTACACGCAGAGTCGCTTATTCCTAAAAACAGGGCTCGAGTTGCTTCAGGTGGGTTGGAATGCCTTCATCCCACTTACAGGTGGGATCTGATAGGATTATTGTGTGCAAATCTCAGAAACCCAAAACAAGGGGATTTAATACAAAAAGGAAATTTATTGCCTCATGGGACTGAGAAATTGCGCTGACCACAGGCATGGCAGGACCCAGGACCAAGCTGAGATTGTTGGGAATCTTCCTCCATCTCTAGCCTCTGTGTCCCTTGCGGGCATCACTCCCAGGCAGCTTCTTGACTTGCAGTGGCGTGCCAGCCACCAGCAGCTGCGGCCTGGCTTTCTCTTCTTAGCAACCGAGGTGAAGTGATAGCACCAGTTTTCCCAGAAGTCCCAATGAAAGTCTCAGAACTGGGTTTCACGGGCTCTTATTAAGGCGGGTGCCTGTCTCTGAGCCAATCACAATGCCAGGGGATGGAAATACGCAGATTGGGCTGACCTGAGCCATGTGTCCACTGTTAGAGCCAGGAATGTGGGTCCTTCTGGCACTGAGATTGTGACTCCCAAGAAGAAGCAGAAGGGGAAGGGGGGAATGGATTTCTATTCCTGGGGACCCAGGACCCAAAGAGGGTTAAGTGACCTGTCTTAACGGGCAGAGATGGAGCCGGGGCTCAAATCCAGGCTTTCCAAGCCCCTTCCTGTTTGGCTTCTTTATTTGAGCCCCAGGTGTTGAGTGACTGGAGGCCAAGCAGAAGTCCCTGTGGCCTGTGGGCAGTTGAGGACAGGGCTCCCGGCCTCTGCCAGGACTCAGTTCACAGTTTAGCTCTCCCACTGTTTCAGCACCTACTAAATACAGGGCACTCTCCTGGGTCCCTCAGGAGACCCACGCTCCCAGGCAACGGGCAGAATTTATTGAGTGCCTGCTGTTTGCAGGGTCCTTAACTAAGTGCATGTGAGGTGGGTGCAAGAAGCCCCAGTCTTTACCCTCAGGGCCTGCGACTTCCTCAGTGATTGGCTGGTCTCTGGCCTGGCCTCCCTTCTCTTCCTTCCTGAGGCTGTTGCTGCCTCAGGACCTTTGCCCTGGCCGACCCCAGCCTGCATTCCGTCTCCACCATCTTTGCTAGGCTCCTTTTCTTAATTCAGGTCTCAGCACATAATGTCACCTGCTCCGAGAGACCTCCCAGACCATCCTTAATGAAGTGGCCCTTCCCCCGTTGTTACCTTCTGCCGCCTCATTCTGTTTGTTCTGGTTTCTCTTTTTTTTGTAGCAGTTAGCACTATCTGAAGGAGTTTTGTTCCTCTCGTTAATATTTTAGTGGCTTCTCTCCCCGAGGGCAGGGACTTATCTGTCTTGTTTGCCCTGTACCCCAGTGCCTAGGTGCTCAGTAAATGATAATGTGGGTGTTTGAGGAGGACCTGGCTGTCTCCTTGGGCCGCACCCCTACCAATGCTTCTCACCCAGTGAGCCTTCCGGCCAGGCCAGTGGCCCGCAGGCCACAGGCTTCCCTGTAGGGAGGCAGCCAGCGTTTGGGCAAAAACCCTCTGAGAACTGGCTCCGCCTGCCCCTCAGGCTGCTTCTTGGAACAGGCTGTTTGGGGCAGCTCTTGGCCCTCAGCCCTGGGCCCCTTCAGCCTCTGCAGCTGCTGTCTTTCCATTTCGTGACAGCCAAGCAGCTCCCTGGCTTTGAGGAGCCCCGACCTGGCTCCTTATGTTGTGGGTGACATTGAGGGGGCCTGGTGCTGTGGGCAAGTCCTTGTGTGACAGAGCACAGGTTAGAGTCGTAGGTCTTCCCTACCCCGCTCACATCCAACACAGCACTGGCACATTTTCTTCCGTGTACAAATTAAACATACACTTGGTGCAAAATTCAGCAAGGAATGCCTAAGTTCCCCACAGTCGCCCACTGTTTACAGTTTGGCGTATATTACTCCAGAATTGTGTCCACTGGTGATAAGGACATCAGCGAACCTTGCACCAGCAGATTTCATCCTGTACTGAGTCTGAGATCCCCATTGCACAGGTGAGGAAGCAGAGGCACAGAGAAGTGAAATAACTTGCCCAGACTCAGTATTAATGTAACGCACAAGCTAAATTACTTCATAGACAGACACACAAATGTGTGCTAATGTGAATTGTTTTTTTCCTCCACCTAACAATCCCTCATTGCTGGGGGTGGAGGGACTGTGAGGGTTCCAGGTGGCTGGTCCCTTGCCTCAAGTCATCCAGAGGCCTGGTTCCTTCTGTCTTGTTGCTCTGCCATCCCCTGGGGTTGCTCTGGCCCTGGGGTCAGTTCTGGCTCACTGTCCGCCTTCAGCCTCAGGAAGGGACGGAGGAGGGGTGGGGCTGGACTTGCGTCCTCACTGCTGCTCGCTTCGCATTGGCCGGGCTCGGTCACATGGCAGCATCCCTGCTGGGTGGCTGTGCATCTTGTTAAAACTCAGAGTGGGGGTTGTCTTGGTCCATTTGGACGGTTAAACAAAACACCGCAGACTGGGTAACCTATAAACAACAGAAGTTTATTACCCACAGTCTTAGAGGTTGGGAAGTCTAGTTAAGATCAGGGTGCCAGCATGGTTGCTTCCTGGCGAGGGCTCTCCTCCTGGTTCGTAGCCAGCACCTTCTGGCCGTGTCCTCACGGGGCGGAGGGGCGAGGAAGGGAGCTGGGGGTCCCTATTTAAGAGCACTAATCCCGTTCATCAGGGCTTCACCCTCATGGCCTAATGACCTCCCAAAAGGCCCACCTCCTAATACCATCACCTTTGAAGGTAAGATTACAACCTGTGAGTTCGGGGAGGGGAACACACTCAGGCCATAGCGTGGGTTTTCATGCTCAGAGGAAAAGGGGTCAGTGGATTCTGGGGACAGTCAGCAGAGAGCTGGTAAGTGATGGAGCCCTGGCAGGCTGGCTCCTCTCGGCTCCTCTGCTGCCTGGGCCCTGACCCCCAACCCCCACCAGGTGGACATCATGCAGATGTGTGTGGTGGAGCTGAAGGAGAGGCCGGGCGCACCCCTCTTCCACCTGGAGCACTACATCGAGGGCAAGTACATCAAGTACAACTCCAACTCGGGCTTTGTCCGTGACGACTTGCGCCTGACGCCGCAGGTAAGGCCCCTGGAGAGGAGGGTCCCTTTGGGGAGGGATCTCACCCCCAGAGGCCCTCAAAACCATGGAACATCCTAAAGGACACCCTTTACCCCTTGCCGGTCCTGTCAGCCCCTTTGAGGTCCCTGCCAAATTAGACAGGTCCCCTTTCTCTGTCTTTTCCTCTAAGCAACGCCTCTTTGCAGAGAAGGCCCACGTGGGCAGTGCTGCAGTGTCCCAGTCTCTCAGAGTAGTGGCTAGCCAATGTCCACACAGCCCACAGCCTGGTCTCTTGTCACCTTTTTCTTCCTGTTCCCCCCATAGGCCTTCAGCCACTTCACATTTGAGCGTTCGGGCCATCAACTGATTGTGGTGGACATCCAGGGTGTGGGTGACCTCTACACCGACCCACAGATCCACACCGAGAAGGGCACTGACTTTGGAGATGGCAACCTAGGTAGATGGGAAAGCCAGCCCGTTTCCACAGAAACCACACACCCTTCCCTCAAATCTCCCAGCTCTTGTACGCTCAGGAAAAACAGGCTGAGTCTGCATATGGGCCTTGCCAAGGTTGTGGCGGTGGGAACCTGGGATATTTGATGCCCCCCCACCCCCACCCCTTAGCATGGTTTGTGTTCACGCCTGTCAAAAAGCAGAGCCATGCTCCCAGCACCACTGCTCTGTCCACAGGTGTCCGGGGCATGGCGCTTTTCTTCTACTCCCACGCCTGCAACCAGATTTGCAAGAGCATGGGCCTCACTCCCTTCGACCTCTCGCCAAGAGAGCAGGATGCAGTGAATCAGAACACCAAGCTGCTGGTGGGTGCCTGGCGTGAGCCTGCAGGGACTGGGGGGGACCTCCTGCTGCCGGGGCTGGCGAGCCACACTTCACTGTGTGATAGCGGCCCCCACCTGCAGGGGCTTAATCAAAGAGAATCAAGGAGGGGGGATCTCAGTCCCTCCTGTGCCCCTTATCCGTCCCAAATCAGAGCACAAAGCCCTCTTGAATGTCCCACTAATAGAGTAACTGGAGTCTGCTTGATTTGAGCCCATTTTTTACTAGATTGAGAAGACCAGGTGAGCAGAGATTGGGAGAAAGTTGTGTGGTGTGTGTTTGCGTGAGTTTGTGTGTGTTGACAAATAGCTGGACTAGACTTGGACTTGGCTGTCTGGGCACCTCGCTGTGTCCAGGATGTGCCCACTCCACTCCCACTGCATGGCCCAGAAAGATACAAGAGAATGTTGGCAAAGACCAGCTTGGGATGTTGAATATGTATGAATTCCTCAGCTCAGGGCTGGAAGTGTGGTCAGCGCTTTGGGGAATGCTAGCTGGCTGGCTCCTATCCCAGATGCCCCTTTGGGTTAATCCTCACTGATTATTTTTAGATTTTTCTACCAGTCCCTAAACAGGCATGTATAAGAACCCTAGGGCCTCAGAGTTCGGGGCAACAACAGGTAACAGGCAGAGTCCCTCATTCCCCAGAGGGTGCCTATGTGACATGAGTGTCCCTGTTAATTCTCCAGCAATCAGCCAAGACCATCTTGAGGGGGACAGAAGAAAAGTGTGGGAGCCCCCAAGTGAAGACCCTCTCTGGGAGCCGGCCACCCCTGCTTCTCCGCCTTTCAGAGAACTCTGGAGACGAGAACATGAGTGACGTGACCTTCGACTCTCTCTCTTCCTCCCCATCTTCAGCCACACCGCACAGCCAGAAGCTGGACCACCTCCGTGAGTGATGGTTTGGTCCCTGGTCCTTGTGATTGGAGGGAGCAGGCACCAGGCCTACAGAGCTAAACTGGCTTTCACTTAACTTTAAAAAACTAGACATACTAACCAAAAAGATTCAGGGCCCAGGGGGTTTTACGGGTGAGTTCTTTCAAGAAACGTCCAAGATGCACGTCATTGGATGCTATAAAACAACCCATGTTGTAGAAAACATTTTTCAGTGTTTTATGAAACTAGCAAAACTTGACAAAACACCAGAAAAGAAAACTATATTCAAATCGCACTTATAAATATGTACTACAGAAATTCTAAATAAGGTATTGATAAATAAGACTGGTAGTGTCTTAAGGGCATCGTCTGTCATAGTCACATAGGGTTTTCACAGGAACCTGAGGGGTGCTCGGCAGTGGGACATGGATTAATATCATATGAATAGGTTACAGGAGAAAATCGTTATTTCTGAAGTTGAAGTGACAGCTGAGGGTGTGGACATGGAGTCTGCAAGAAAGAGGAAGCAAGGCTGACACCAGGGTTTTGGCCTGAAGAACTGAAAGGGTGGGGTAGCCACTGGTTCCACTGGCGGAGGCCGCAGGGGAGCAAGAGGAGATTTCAGTGTCAGATATTAGGGCCTTTAGCCATCTCGGGAAGGCCTTGCGAGCAGTCTGAGCCGGAGCCCACAGACTTGTTCTTAAAAGGCCAGAGTAAATATTTAGCAGTTGGACCGCAGCACAGACAAGGCTTAAGCAAACAGGTGCGGCTCTTGTTCCAACAATCCTTTTCAGACACGAAGTTTCCATTTCATATAATTTTCACATATCAGAAGATACTATTATTTTGACTTTTTTCAACCATTTAGAAGTTGTCACCCCTGGCCGGGTAGCTCAGTTGGTTAGTGTTGTCCTGATACACCAAGGTTGTGGGTTCGATCTCCGGCCAGGGCACATAGAAGAACCAACCAATGATGCATCAATAAGTGGAGCAATAAATCGATGGGTGTTTTTTTCTCTTTTTCTCTCTCTCTTCCCTTCTCCCTCCTTCCCTCCTTCTCTCTCCCTTTCCCTTCCTTCCTCTCTCTCAAACTCAATAAATAAAATTTTAAAAATTAAAAAAAGTAAAAACCATTCTTAAAAAACCATGTGAAAACAGGAGACAAGCCAGGTTTGGCTCACGGGAGCTCCAGGCAGGAGACAGAGACTGGGAACCACCAGGAAGTGGTTGGTTCTGAAGCCATCTGGGGCTCCCCCACTTGTAGCTCCTCATTGAGCCCCAAATGTACAAATGGCCTTCACAGCTGCACCCCATGAGGGCCCACCGTGGGCCACACCCACGTGCTTCCACACGTGTCACAGAGACATGTTTGCATTATGACGACTCCGACAAAGCCGCTTGCTCAGGGCGCACAGCTGGCGAGTGGGCAACTTGGAAAAATTCTCAGGGAGGAAGGGTAGCCCCAGGTACTGACAACATTCTCTCCCTTTTTTGCACCTTTAAAAATTTAAAGTACTAAAGGGCTTCTCCAGGTGCAGTTAGCTCTGGGATGTAGGTTGGTCTTGTGAACTGCCCAGCAGCGCACCCAGCACATCGTCTGTCTGTTTCCCCCCTGCCCAGATTGGCCTGTGTTCAGCGACCTCGATAACATGGCCCCCCGAGATCACGACCATCTGGACAACCACCGGGTGAGTGGAGAGGGGTGGAGGAGCAGGGCTGGGAGGAGGGGACTCAGTCCCAGGGGGAAGTGAAGGTGAATGCTCAGGTTCAGAGGTGAGCAGCCCAGGTCTGGGTCCTCCCCTTCCCCCAGGGGTTAGAGAAGAGGGGGATCCAAATCAGCAGCAGTGTGACCTGCTAGCTGCTGGCTCAGCCCTGAGCTTTTGGCCACATTGTGTGGACAGCTGTGTTGGGGGAGGGGTATGGTGAGTTCAGATGGGCCACAGTCAGCTGGGATATGCTCAGGTTGGAAAATGGAACAGGTTCTTGCAGCCTCTGGGTGACTTAGTGGTAAGAAACTGAAAGCATTGTATTTGCATTCAGGCAAACATCCTGGTGTCAAATTTTAAATTCATAGGAATTTTTCTTTTTAAAAATATATCTTTATTGACTTCAGAATGAGGAAGGGAGAGGGAGAGAGAGAGAGAAACATCGATGATGCGAGAGTCATTGATCGGCTGCCTCCTGC